ATAATGCTGTCCTTATTATAGAGGTGTCCTTATTTCAGAGGTTGATTAATACATATTTATATTGTATTGGAACTGATACTACCTGTCCTGATCTGATTATAGAAGTGTCCTTATTTTAGAGTGTCCACAATAGCAGGTTGCACTGTAATCCTTAATATAAATTTGTCTATTGCAAATGGGAGTAGTTAATTTTGAATTTAGTTATGCAAGGATTTAAATCATATTGTAAGTGCTTACACGTATTTTGTTTCACTCTTTTAGGTGCTGGGGATTTCACAGGATTGCCATAAAAACAAAATTCAGACCAATGCAGTCACTCGCAATAACGTGGCCCTCTGGGACCCGGAAAGGGAAAACTCCTTCACTTATAATATCAGCTGTCCATCTCTTGCAGCTGTGAGGTTTTTAGCAGTCGTTGATAAAGGTACGCTAGCAAGGGTTTTCTGACTTAGCGCTCAGCTTTTTGCCAGTAGATATTAAAGTTGCTCAAATTGGGCCAAAAGACCCTGTGCTATATAGTACTGGGTATTAGCCTAAGAAAAACTTTCCATTTGAATTTTTTTAGATGAATGTACTTATGTTGTGTAGAAAGTTTAAATTAATTTCGATCAAATGTGGATTTTTACGAATTTTAAAAGTTGCTCTAAAATTGGGCAAAAGTCCCTGTACAGAGATTTTGGGCAAACTTTGTCAAAAATGAAAAGGAGAGAATTCTTCATTCTACTCTATACTAGTGGACTTTTGATACCATTTCCCATCCTTTCTATCTTCTCTCTCTCCCTCTCCCTTTCTCTCTTTCTGTGAATAGATTCTCCTCCTCTTGTTCAAGTTGTCATGGTCAATTCTCTGAGGGAAGGGCTCCAGCATGTCTATTTTCCTGATGGAAACATATTCTGTGACACACGCCCATCAAGCTTGTTTATCACTGTCATGAAGGTAAAAGACACAGTATGAAAAGAAAGCGTGATAATTGTGTTACACTGTAATACTTTACCACCAAAAGTGCCTGTAAACTTAGATTAGGCACTTTAATTATGAGACACTTAAGATTTTTTAATTTTAAGATTTTTTAATTTTAAGATTTTATCATTTTATAATTAGAAGCCTAATATCAGCACTTTCTCTACATTGTGTTCATAAAAGTTTGAAAAGTTTGAACTCTTGTTCTATGCCATATTATATCTTTACAGGCACTTTGTGTAGTAATGTGCTGCAGTTTAAATCATCCTTTAAAAAATTTAATATACATGTAATTTAAACTTTTTTCTCTCTCTTTCACTTTGTATTAGAAATCAAAGTGTGGTGGTTGTGAAAGCCCCATTAAGTTGTCTCTTATTGATCATTCTGAGCCTTCTGCCAAGCACTTTGAGGAAATATTGGAATCAATCTCAGAGAAGCCACTTTCAACCGTCACGATACGTTATAACGACTTGCCTCGCATTGATCATGACCCTGTCTCACTTTTTGCTGATCCTTGTACTAAAGCAAGGTACTTAATGTTTCAAATGCTTTATAATTTTAATACTAATAATAATTTTACTACTTTTAATTTTAGTATTTTTTTGATTGCATGCAAAACATATTTAACATAATGCTTGTAATAATAATAATTTTTTTTTTATTTTAGTGAACTTCTAATTGGAGCCTTGGCACAGCTTGGCAGTACCATAAAAGCTGCCTGTCCATACCTGAAGGACAGAGATGATGAAGATGAGCTCCTTCGCTATTTTGGCTTCATCTTGTGCAGGGAAGAGAAGGGACGCCTGATCAAAGTCCAGTCATTAGATCCTGATGAGCTGGTTCTTCCTTTAGTAGAGAGGAACTCTGTCCTTACCATTGTCTTGAAAGGAACGGAGTGTGGGTCTCCTTTTCATTGCCCTCCACTTCACGGGAGCCCAGTTCGTTCCATTTTGAAGGGTATTTCTGCTACTCTTGGAAACCCAAATATGCTTTCAGTTGGTAAGGATACATTTGTTGTTAAAGAATCATTACGATGATGGTGATGGTGATGTACCCTTCCTGTTTAGTTTTATTTTGCTTTTTGTTGGTTTTGAGCTTTTCCTGTCTTACTCTAGTTCATGATAATAAATAACAACAACAAAAACAACAACAACAACAACAACAACAATAATTATAATAATAATAATAATAATAATGATAATGATAATAATAATGGTCTTATCTCTCTTCTATAGGAAGGGCTAGTAGGAGGTCTTCTCAAGTTGAGTTTCCTCCTAAGCTTCATCGCCCAGCTACTATAGAGTTATCAAAGACTCCACAATCAACAGCGGCAGCAGCACGCCAAGAGCTCCTTGTTACAGCAGAAATGAAGCTAAATGTGAAGAGTCCCTCTCCCTCCCCTTCTCCCTTTGCCTCTGTCTCTTTTTATCCCTCCGTCCGAAAGTCTGCATGCGCCATAGCAGAAATAACCAGGAGGGAAATAGGAGGTCGAAGGAGAGTCACTGTTCACAGCAAACCAGAATCCGTTGATTACATATTCTACAAAGCATTTGAGGAGCAGGCAAAGAAGGTCCCATCTCAGGACACACCACAGCATGGAGTCCAACCTGGTGCTGTTGGGGGTCCTCCTCCACCTCCTAGGAGGCATTTCCAGGGCCTTCAGAGGCGGGATTTAAACCGCTCTGTTAGTTTTGCTTCTTTTTCGAAGGGCCCGGAAGACTCTCCTGCTCACCCTCCAGTGAGACGTGAGAGCAAGATCAAGAGACAAATCAAGAAGTTTTTTCAAGGGAAAAGATCCCTTCGATCAGCTCGCACTCAGGCATCGATACGTATTGAAAAGCAAGTGAGTGATGAAGGGTTTCAGGCTTTTAGTGAGCCGTCATTGGGCGATCAAAATGAAAAGGAAAAGGGAGAGAGGGGAAGGAGGGGAACAAGGAGGAGACGTGAAGAAAGGTTTCAAGAAGATAAAATGGATATAGTTGAGGTTGTTCCTCCAGCTTTGGAGCCCGTTGAAGAGGGAAGACATCCTTCCAAAAGGCACAGCACCGGGATAATGAAAGGAGGAGGAGCCAAGCTGCTGAAGACCAGTTCCCATCCAAAGCTGAGGCACCCACCATATCTGGAGAGTTCAATCTAAGTATGTTTGTTATTCAAGTGGAATGATCAAGAACGTAATATTTGATATTTTAATTTTAATTTTGTCATTCAAGTCAATTTCATCCGTATATTGTTTATGTTTGTTTGTATGCAAATGTATATATATATATATATTATAGCTGGACAGTAAATTTTAGATTTACTTTATTTATTTATGTGTCAGTAGATTTTATCAGTATTATTAGATTTTTACTGAAAAAAAAATTATAAAATTGTATTGAGTTTTCAAAATTTAGAGGCCGGGAAGGAAGACCTAAATAAAAAATATATCCATTTTGCTTGCTCCTGCCTGCATCTGTAGGAAGATTAATTGAGTATTCACTATAGAGTGTATATTTATCAATTGATTTGGTTTATTTTACTTTCACGACAATTGGCATGACATTCGTCAATAATGGGTTAGCGGGTTGAAGAACAATCAAGTAAATTTTATGAACCGCACCAATAATCGTGTTGAATCAATTAATCAGAAGATCAAGTTAGTAATGTCAAAGCATAGTAGTCTTCAACAATTTTGCACTGAATTCTTGAAGGTATTATCAACACTGCAAGTGGAACGTGAATTCAAATGCTTTACAAAATTGTGTAATGTTTTGTAATAATTATCTGCCGTAACAGATTTTTTCTAGATACCATGACCATTCAAAATGCAATTTGATGCTTAACTAAGTACAGACATTAGAAAAAAGGAGAGGGCTATCAGAAAGGCCTTGAAAAAGTTGCAGTGGATGCAAAATTCATGCAAACTTTTGCTCGCCCACGCAATACATGGGTGGGGCTCGCATTTATGCAACACGGATAATAAACGGAAAATGTACGAGAACTAAGGCCCTGCCCAAAAGTGAAGGAGACTCACTGAAATCTTCAACTTTCTTTTCTTCATCTTTTCCTGGTACCCTGTGGTGGTTTTGTGGTCTCGCTCCTTTGCTAACTGTAGTTTCTATTGTTTTTTGAAATGGCGAGGGAATACGACCATCTTTTTAAGCTACTTATTATAGGGGATAGTGGTAAGTTGGCTCGGGATAGTCGAGAATCTTTTAGTGTTTATATACATGTATGTGGAATGATCTCTCTCTCTCTCTTTTGATAGGAGTGGGTAAGAGTAGTCTCTTGCTTAGGTTTGCTGACAATTTATTCTCTGGTGAGTCATGAAAAAAGGAAAAGGGTCACAGTTTTTATGTACCCTCTTCCTTCTCTTTCTCTCTCAGGTACTTATATTACTACGATTGGTGTGGACTTTAAAATAAGGACTATTGAAGTGAATGGGGAGAAAGTGAAGCTACAGATATGGGACACTGCTGGCCAGGAAAGGTTCCGTACAATTACCTCAACGTAAGCTCT